GACCCCCTTTTACTAGAGGGCGCAGGGAAATCCCAAGCCCGAACCTCCTGGTCTCGCACGGAAGCCTACAGCAGAAGCCGGAAAACCTTGAATCCCAATCCTCAGATGCCCTATAAAAGTATGGACCTGTCTCTGATTGAGTCTGCATCATACATCCGCTACATCACTTGTGGAAGTATGGAGAATTCCAGGTGCTAGTCCTCCTCGGTCTATACTTCTTCCAGTCATTCACAGTCTACTGCAGGTCTTGCAACTCGCACTCCTGAAGCCTAGAACCCGCCGCCGCCGGGTTTGCCGTCCGCAATCCTTCAACCAAACTAATCTCGAGCCGTCCTCTGCCAAGAACCTAAATTGCCGAATTTGGTGGTTGCACAGATTTTGTTGTTACAGGCTCTAACCAACAGAATGGGTCATCCTGTCCTGCAACTCGGGGTCGAGCTGAAGTGGGGTTGATGCTGAAGAAAGCGCGAAAAGTCTCTGCATGGATGTGGGGTTGACGGCAAAGGATAGTATCGCAGGACTGCGCAGGTTCTTCGGTTGTGGAAATCGAAGCTGCTCGAATTGATGTTGGAGTTTCCTAGGCCAAGTAGCACAGAACCTTGTTGAAACCTGGGGCCCGCAATCCCAACAAAGGGCAGGCGGCTTTCTTAGCCGCCTCTCAGTCAAGCTTTAATCTGCTCCGGCTCTTCAGAACCCTACCTAAAGTCTCCATTGTAATTCCTTTTTGGGGATACGTTTTGGAATCCTGAATATATGTTTGGTGAAACCAAAAACAGGAACTACAATGGAGACTATAGGTAATTGCTTCAAGTGAAGTCAGCTCTGAAGAAGTCTTGGCCAAACCCCCACTAGTTCGGCATTGGAACACTTCGGGGTAGGGTTTCGGAGACATCGAGCGTCTAGCTGGGCCCCTGGCAAGGCGTCTTCCTGCAAAGAGGCAGGTGAACTCTTGGGCAAGAACTTTAAGCAAGGGCCTCGATCATTGAAAAAAGGCCTTGGACCAGTTTGAGGTGCATTCGACTATGATTGTGTGCGGACTATGAGAGGAAACCGTCCGCTTCAGTGAGAAGCCTTCCCGGTTGAAAAGGGTCCGCCATACTTTGTTGGTGTCGGTGCTAGCGTCCCTTGGGACTGGTGGGCCAGGGTTCGTGCCTTTGGGCCACTCTGGAAGCCTAAGTACCTTTAGTGTGCTCTCTAAACTATCACCTACTATAACTAGGCAAAAGAACCCTCAACACGCGCGCTCTTGATGGCATCCGGAGTGTTCCAAAGCGCAAATGCAGTGTCACTGACGTTTTCTGGAGGATCTAATTAATACAAGGCTCGGAATAATTGGAAAAGGCTCTTAGGGTATGTTGGACTACAGCCAGTGTCGGGAGCCCGAAGAAATTTTAGCTTCTGCATGATCGACTCCTGAACTGTGAACCCCGAAGCCTACCTTGGACTCCTAACCACATAATATAGGGGCCTCAATACTAAGAATAAGAATAATAATAATAATAAAGTTTTGGGGCCCATTATACTATACTTATAATCAGGAACCCCCCAAATAGTATGGGTAATTATCACGGCCCCTATATAATACCTTAAGCCCGAACCTTGCAATCGCACCTGCCCAGTGGCACCGAAACTGCATCAGCGCTGAGCCCCTAAACCTTTGACCTGAACCCAACAGCCTACTGTAGGGGTCTGAAGCATTAGAATAGGATTTTGGGGTATACTATACCACAAGGAATCCCCCCCAAAGTTAAAATAGTATAGGTAATTATTTAGGGCGCTATGGTAAGCTTCAGGCTTCTGGCTCCCTGTCAACTTCACGAAGGCCTCTGACAACGGGATCGTCACAGGCAACTTCGCCGAGGGTCGTGCCCGTCCCAGCCTTAGCCAACACGAAACGGGTTAATTTAATGTACAGCAAATCCCAGAAAGTTGGAACATGGGTTTAGGAGGATTAGTGCCAGAATCCCCTAAGCTTTACCTGGAGGGCATGAGGATAATCATGTTCCAACTTTCTGGCTTCTACTATAGGGGGCTTATGACTTAGACAAGGGTTGAGGGCCCCATCGTATGGGAAGTAGGAAAGATTCCTGCCAATCCAAAACACTTGTGCCCATCCGCCGTAGGATCATTCGGCAGCAGACCCTGATGGGCCATGATGCTCCCTTATTAATTATTGCAAACAAAAACTAAATCATGAGACCACCTTGTCGCTAAGCCATGTGGCCTTCTCAGAATTCCAAAGATGTAAACCCAAATCCTCTCAAGGGCCTAACTCTACTCCGCTTAGGAGGTGAGCAACATGTAGATATTCTCAGAGACTCCTGTGCAAGAAACAAAAAACCAACAGAGGAATAACAAACGACTACCCACGAGCCTTAAAGCTCATCTAGTGGCCTTCAGAAGTGGAACAGGGGCCAAGGCATATCATGATCAGAGCTACCTAGTCAGGCCCCTAAACACTAGCTCCTGCCGTATGCCGTATTTCGGACATCACCACCTATGGGAGTTCTAGGCAACCGGCTACACGTTACAACGCCCAAAAGAGCGCTGAAGCCTCAGCCCGAAACTCTCAACCCGAAACCCTATGAAGGCGCTCAGCTACAGCTTAAGTGGCCATATTATAGATTTCTGATGAATCCCTAGAAACCCCTCAGAGAAACGTATCAAGCATGTGAGACCGAAAGCCTTGCAAACACTCATAAAGCCTCAACACCCTAACACCTAAACCGTCGAATTTGGAAAATCCCAAACTGAACCCTAAACCTCTACATTCATAAGACCCAAAACAACAAACCTGAAACTTTCAAGAAGCCCCAGCACATCGACCAAGCGCGCGGCAGGAGATCGGCAGCTCCCCAGCCTGTAGCTTGACCTTAGTTGTTGGGGTTGAGTGTGTAGGGTTTCAGGAGCTCTGGGATTTCTGGGGATTTATAGAGTTTCGAACGGATCTTCCTGAGCTTCTATCCAATGTTGTAAGGTCTCTGATTTTAGGGTTTTTTCGGGTGCGGTAGGGTTTCTATTGGTTCGTAACGGGTTGATATCGAGTTGACAGGGTCTTCGTTCTGGGATTTCAAGAATTTGGTCGCTGTGGGGTGAAATTTTAAAGTTCTGGGGATTATCGTAGGCTGCCAGACTTAAAGAGTTTTCTTTTCCCTCCCGCCTGGCTTTTAAGTTAGAAGTTTAGGGTTGTTCCCACTCGGGAGGAACATCTTTTGTCGTTGTGTTCTACTTTCTGTTCAAGGTTCGTAGCAGCAAAACATGTTAGGGCATTTCGAAGCAAGGCTGTTGGGCTGCGTTAAGGGTACTAACTTATTGCGTTTTGATTCCGCTCCAAAGCTAGTGCAAGGTTTATGTGGTCTTAGGCTTAATGCCTGCAGTGCGAGCAGCAGTCGCCTGTCCGAAACCAAAAGGCTGCAAACCTGGAAACCCAAAACCTCAAGGCCTTGGACCCTTCAGCAAACCCTTCCAGATCCAAACTGCAAAGAGCCAAACCCTCCATCGAACCCTTATAGATCCCTTTACCGATACAGTTACAGTATAGAACCCATATACATATATATATAGATATGTAGATATACATATAGGTTATAGATCCCTCTCTAGATGCATTGAGACCACCCCTGATGAGACTAAGAGGCCGGATGTGAACATGAGAAGCAATCCGGTTGCATCTCCGCCTTGGCAGGCGGAAGGCTAGAGGGATCTGTTTTTGAAGGGGTCCCTAACCCCCCAAGAACCTACTATAAAGGGTACTAGAGCCCCTAGGGCCCTATATAGTAGGTACCTGGGGGGGTAGGGGGCTCCTCTATTGGATTTAAAGGTCACGGCTTCGCGTTGAGGCTGATATACTTAAAGTAGGTAAGGGTTTAGGGTTTAGGGCTATAAGAGGATTTAAGGTATGAATGAGGGTTCAGGAGGTCCATAGGGGCTAAAGTGGTCGTCTCGAGGTTCGTTTGCAGGGTTCTGAAACGTGTTTCATAGCAACATAAGGGCACCCTCGTAAGGAATGATCCCTTTCAGAAAGTTGAGGTTCAAGATATCTAAAAATGCTTTCATGGCGGCACTACGGAGGCTATAAGGTTTCGCTGAGTGTTTTTTTGGTGTTTAAGGTGTATAGCTGAGTGCATACCTACCAGGCGTTCTTGCTTGCAAGCTTGCAGCAAAAAGGTGTATAGCTATAGTATAGAGGATACTTCAAGGATCAGGGAACTCAGCAAGCAAGGGATATTCCGCTATGAAGGGAACTACGCTCAAAGCTACCTTGCTTTCTCCAATTTATGCCCTTGGAGCCATAGTTCTACCTAGCCTTGAAGTAAGTAAGGCGAGAAAGTGCCTTGGGCCACCTTATAAAAAGGACCCGAGCAAGGCAGGCATGGCTTCTGAAGACATATATGTGTTTAGCATGGCTTTGCGGGTTTGAAGAGCTTCGGGTTCTCAGAATTTGCCTTTTGGCCCTGATCGCTTGGGTTTTGTCGAGCTTACGTTTAGCGATTAGCATCCACCGACCCACATTACGTGTTAGAAGAGCTCTACTTGAAGCTGGCAGTGATTGGGGCAAGTTCCGTAGGTTTTCTCCGGATTGCAACCGAGTGTTTTAACCCAATGGCCAGAAGGATTGTCTGGCCTTTCTAGTAGACGCCCGGTAAGAGCTCTGCAGACAAGGCTGACTTTATGTGTGCGACGATGTGCTGTAGAAGATTACTTGGTTCAGCGGATCTGGCCTTAGACAAACCCTTTTCTCAAGCTGCTTTCTCGGCTTCGCATCACGCTAAGCATCAAGCTCTGCAAAGACCTAAAGTCTCCGACTCTTGTGAAACCTTGCAAACCCCAAGCACCAAAACACCAACACCGCAGACCGTGAACCCAAAACCCAAGACCCTACCTGCACCGCAATTAAGCCCCGAACCCTGAACCGAACACCTATTTCCTAGACGACGACCTCATGACGCCGATTCCGACCCTGGCATTAATTAAATAAATTCCTCATCATGCGAGGCCCTTTAGCCGTCTTCGGGAGCGACGCTCGCTCCCTCCATCATCTGCTCAGCTAAAGACCGGAGGCCCTTCGAGATGGTCTCGTGGTAGACATCCTTTCTGAGCTACTGGATTTGGGTTTCACAAAGTTTAAGAAAGGCAGTTGTCGGTGTGCGTAGAGCTTTTAGAACGTCCCTTGAAGAGCTTCTTATGAGAAGGAATGAGTACTGTAGTACTGCGTATCCGGACCATGGCAACTGAAATCGAATTTCTGAAGCGGGACCCAGCAACGAGGGGCCGGGCACCGAAAGGGTTGTGAAGAGTGGTCGTGAGGTCATAGAGGGCACGATAGGACATGTTCCAAACCACGAGCACGAGCAGATCGAGCCAAAACTTCGGTTGCTCGAAGAGCTTGTCACCGAAGCTGCGACACCAGATTGACCACTCTACGCCTTTCCAGGTGCACATGATGAGAAGGTTGATGTTGACCAGCAACCCCACCAGGGAGGAATACGCGTAAGGCTTATCTTGTTCAAGGCATCCCATTAAGTCGTTGGCTTTGCCACGCAGACTGCTGATGTCTTCTGAAATTTTGGGCAAGGCTTGGGCAAGGAGCACTCCGTCTTTTTGAAGAGCAACGCACTTCTGCTGAATCCAAGCGATGACCGTCGTGTGGCGATCGCCGGCGACCATGGCGTTCCACTCTGCAGGGAGCACCGTCTTGGTGCTTTCTAAGAACTCACGAGTCTCGAGTGCATCCATCTTCCCCCGAGCCTTCTGTAGCGCCAGCTCAAACGCCAGAATCACCCATCGACCCAGCTTGCGTCGCTCTTGCATTAGCTGTTGGTTGCTCTTGTCCACCGGAATGAAGGTCGCGAGCTGTACGATCAGATTGCGGACGTTGCCGCAAAGAGAAGCATACGTTGTCCTCCGCGAATGCCATGTCCCCACGGTCATTGCCACAAAGCCCGCAAGCACAAAGGCCACCAGGAAGCGAAACTCAACCTTCATCGACGGCGGCAATTATGTAAGGTAGGTTTCAGGACTTTATGAGTATGGGTTTTCTGCGTCCCCCTAACCTTGGCGTTCTTCATGGTCTCCTCCAGCTGGCACATTTGGACGTTGCCTGCTTCGCAGGCCTTCCCTTCTCCAATCTCGCCATCTGGAAAGGCAGTGAAACCTAACTGGGAGTTTCCGAAAATTAGGGTACCTTATTTTGGGGTCATTATAATAGGGATCCTATTACTTAGGGTGCTATATTAGAGTCCCCTATGTTCGGAAACCCCCAACTGCTGAGACTGAGATCCCTAGTCCAAAGACTGCCCATTCACAAAACAGCAAAGAACAACTTAGGGTTTAGGGTTTAGGGTTTAGGGTTTAGGGTTTAAGTCAAAAGGGTGCTTTTACACTGGGGAAACATAAGATGATCATCAGAATCAAGGCGTAGAGCAAAGCCACGAGGTGGGGCAGCACATTGCCTTGCTTCGCGAGTACCAGATGCAAAAGGCAGCTTAAGAACAACACCAACATAAGAATTCAACGCAGTATAAAGGCTGGGTGATGGAAAAACAAGCAACACCGATGAAATCCTTATATGAACATCTTGAACCTCATAAAACAAGCCAGATCGAGGCTACTCACGGCGTTGCAAACGGTGAGGTCTCGGACCACAAAGGGAGCCGAGAAGGTCCAGATCTTGTCGGGGCTGTAGGTGAGCAATCGGGGGATGGCCCCATAGAAGCCTTTCGCTGAACAGCTCGTGGGGGGGTCAATGTAGGGACCTTGATGGTTAGACGAGGGTTTTGGAGTGTATTATACTGTATTTATGATAAGGAACCCCCCACAGAACAGTACTGGTAATCATTTAGGCCCCTACTTTATAGGCATTTCAATGAAAGACGGGAGGCTTTATTCAACACTGCGACCTCAACAATTAGAGTAGGATGGCGGGGAGTGTCATATAGCATCATTGTACAGGTTAGACGTAGGGTTTTGGGGCTTGGGGCTTGGAGTACTTGCTCGGAAGGAGCAGGGGACGAAATCGACTACCGAGTAGCCCGATTCCGTTGAAATGACCAGGCCACGATGCGACGCCAGGCTGGACGCGGGCTCCTTCATGGCATCAGCCTTTGAAACCTCCTCTGGGGCCACTTTGAAGTGGGTGGGGCCCTGAGCCAACATCTCAAGCTCGGCGGCTTTGGCAGGCTGCTGAGGCAGAGGCAATAGAGGCGCGCCCACAATCACAATAGGGTCCTTTGGATATATATATATATAGATGCCACTGAAGAAAAGAAGCAACCATATATCATATAGGATTCATTATACGAATACTATACCCTAAGCCCTAAACCCTGACATACGATACTTCCAACAAGGAGCCCTGAAGAACTATAGCTCTAACTTGGAACCCGAGCCCCCTGGGCCCATAATCTGGTTTCCTACCCCAATACCCCCCAAAAGCCGAAACTTCATAAGGTTTTCAGTAAGGTTCAAGGTTCAGAGTTTAGAGCTGTTGGAGGATTTCGGGTAAAGGGCTTAGGGGCAAAGTGGTAAAGAAAGAGCATAAGTTGGCCCATCGACTCAGCATCAAAGGTAACCCTAACCCCCCAGGAACCTACTATATAGGGCCCTAGGGGCTCTAGTACCCTATATAGTAGGTACCTGGGGGGTTAGGGTAATGCTTATCTTGAATCCTCCATTCCGCAGCCGAGGACTTCCCATCTGGGAGATCCGAGAGCCTAAGTCATCAGAATAGCGAACCTTCTTTTAGGGTTTCGGGGTTTAGGGTTTAGGGTTTAGGGTTTAGGGTCTGATTCTGGTAACATAGGAACCTGATTGAGAAACCCTGGGCCTTTATTAGGGTTCTTAATATGAACCCTATAATATCTTGAGGTTATAGGGCCAGGGTTGCTTGATGAGGTTCCTACATTACGCCTGCCTTCACAAGACCCTCTGAAACACTTACAAAAAACCTTGACACGTACCGGTTGGAAGCTTAGCAGGTGACTCCAGGGAAGCACCACCGCACCCGGAGCGTAGACCACCACCACCACGGGAACCTGGATTCGCGGGCTACGACCATTCAAGTCAGTCTTTTTTGGTTACGAGGTCGTGGCATAATTATCATACATGAGGAAGGTGGGGGCGGGAAACGCGTTTTGAGTGACTTCGCTTGCTTGCTTAGGCAGGAGAGGGCTTGGGCTTCTGAGAGCTTGGCTGGGCTGCTTTCCGCTCGCATGGGTTCAGGGCCCAGGCCATGAAAAGACAGGGGCCTTCGCTATGAACTACTCTTTGTGCGATCTGGAGAAAATCGAGAAGCCCCCTTCCGATCTTGTCTGTTTGAAGTCGCTGGCTGACAGTCGGAGATCGGAACTGAGCCTTGATAAAGAGATTTGAGCGTGTCTGTGCTGTGAACCATTCCCGATCTGAAAACGGTACATACATACATCCATACGTTTATTGACGGGTTTAGGCGATTCGGGAAGTTGCTTTCGAATCTTAGAGCTTGGGTTTGGCCTTGATTGACAGTGGTCGTAGGAACTCAAGATACTGCTAGTAGTGGCAGCAGCAGCAGCAGTAGCCGCAGCTTGAATAAGTGACAATTTCAGCAGCAAAAATCACAATGTTCATAACGCTAGTAGTCATCATAGTAGGAATATCGAAAGCAACAGCCGGAGCAGCTGTAGAGACTACTACATAGCAGTCTTCGAGAAAGCACTTGTCCTTCCGAACAGAACTCCCTCAACCCGTGGCAACCTACATGCAACAGCCTACAATCCAATTATTGCTCTGCAGCTCTGCACCCTTGAAGCCAAGGCCTTCAGCTGCTTTCCCATGAGAACCACCTCCCGCGTTCAGGGATGTGGACGGCCCAAGTGCCCATTGTTTCATGATCTACATAGCATTTGGGCCAATCAGTGAGGTTAAGGTCTCACTGTCTACTTTACGTTAGAATATAGGACTTTACGTTAGAGTATAGGACTTTCGGGTTTAGACGTTTAGAGCTCTACTGAAAGGGCCAGGCGACATATTACACGGTCAGTGCGGTTACCTGCAGATAGCTATGCGCATATAAATAGCACTACAACTCGTTCAAGCGACTCATTCGCAGCCTCAGCTTTCGATGGCTTTGGGGTAGCCACGCATGGCTGTGGCTCAGGTGGGGATTTGGTTCCTAATTGCAGAATGCGGCCCCTAATTAAGCCCTTATAAACCCTAAGGTTACCCAAACCCCCCAGGTACCTACTGTAGAGGGCCCTAGAGGCTCTAGTACCCTATATAATAGGTTCCTGGGGCGTTAGGGTTATGCCAGGAGTTGCGATATCTTGCGCTTGCCTGCCCCACAAAGGCGTCCTGATCCACACCTTGGCCATGGCTTTGGGAATTGCTTTTGAAAGGTCCCTCAGTGGAAGATTTATTGTATAGTTCTGGTACTGCTGTTTGTAATGCTATCATTAGAATAATCATGGCTTTTGTTGCACTTGTTATGATTGCTACCAGTACTAATTATCATCAAGAGTACTAGTAAACTATACCATTCCCCACCCTCGGTGTGCGGTTTGTTAGATGCTCAACTCTTCTATTTTCCCTATCGACTCCCTGAGAGTTCTCCAACCGCCAAGAGGCTCTGGGGTGCCCAACCCCAGAAAGCCCGAAGCCTTAAATCGGAAATACGTAATGTAGGGGACTTACTTATTTTAATAGGTTTTTGGGCCCCATGATACTATAATTATACGTATAATTATAATAAGGAGCCGCAACCACTGCACAACTCCCGGTGCTGAGTGCACGGCGGAGGTGAGTGCGATCGACAGACTCTGTGGAGGTCGCACCTAGGAGTGATACGGCCTATGACTCACTTATGCATCGTGAATGGTTCGGCTGTGTAGGGCAGTCACACTTACCCGGCTTGGCCTGTCATGGTAATTGCCGTGGCTTGTTGTCGTACCTTGAGAATGCTCCAGTACATTCTGCCTCGGAACGTGCGAAACAAGTTCAAGCCGGGGGCTTGGAGCATCGTCGAAGAAAACCATAGGCCACAAATTCGAGGAGACCCCTAACCACTTAGTCATCTCTCCAGGGCCCACATGCGAGGTCCAAAGAGCCCAACATCCCGAATTGAGGAATCTGTAGCTTCAGCTGCGGAGGCTTTGACATTATGATGTATTGCGTTTTTGACTAAAGGATTCAACAGGAGAGGCAATGTTTGAAACTGCAGGGCGAGAGGATGCAAGGCCCTGTATGGTGTTGAGTTTGAGGCGTGCGGATTGCTTGCAACAAGATTCGAACAAGTGGTACCCCGTACGTAAGGATTTCTTGGGAACATGGCCCCTGCTACAGCTGCAGGAACATGTCATCTCAGTAAACTAGGACCCTTCTTTTTGTGAGAGTTACTTACCCCGCGCTGTCGGCGGTCAGCAAAGGACGAGACGTACCCAAACAGAAATTTCAACAACCCAAGCCCCCCCAAGACCCCAAACCCAAACATGCATCTGCGCAAGCAACCGACAGTGCAAGTGTATGCCAGCACACAGGCGCACCTGCACAAACCACCGCCACATCTGCTCCTGTCACAAAGCTGGTGAAGGTATGTTATTCGGAGGACTAGTTATAGGGTTTATAGTTTATAGGGTTTGCAACCTAGCTGCAGCCGTCAAGCAGACTACCCCGAGAACTTTAGCTCCCCCTGCATCTGCGGCTGAACCCCTCAAGCCGAAAGGGCCAGGATGATGTTGAAGGGTGAGCAAGACCTAGGGTCGAATTAGAAGGATCTTATAAGGTTTAAGGGTTTCGGATTGGGGTTCCATCAGCTTCTGTAAGGTTCAGGGCACCCCTCACAAAATAGCCAAGCACGATTTCAAAGAGCCCAGCCGAAGTCGCAAAGGCAGGGTATACCGACCCTACTAGACTAGTGGGGTAATGCCCAGATCACAGAGCGACGAGTCCTGCCATCGCCTTCCGCGCCGATGTGACGAAATCATTGTTGCCTCAATTTGGTGGGCCACTACAAGTTTAGCATTGCTGCTCAGCTTGATAACCTGTGAGTATAGAGTCACAGTAGCAGGACATGATGCTGATGATGAATGTACTGGTGCTGATGCCCACCACCACCACACGACTACTGCTCTTGTTGCTATGACCCCAGATGATCCTATTTACCATGCCCCACTACCTTCCAAATAAACGCACAACATGCGGCTGGGCAGCACTCGCACTTGGACCGTAGAACAAGATTAGGCAAGTTCTGGAACTGGTAGCAGCAGAGGAAAACGCGACACCAGCAGCGCGGCATTGTGTAGGGCCATTTACAGACCTGTAGCTCCGCTAATTGCGGTCCTCTCCGGGAAGGAGTTAAACGAATCGGGATTGAATTCATCGATGTTCAAATGTGCAGTGCCAAGCATCTGGAGGTTGAGCGCTGATACGGTTTACAGCTATGGAGATTTAACTGCATCAGCAAAGCTCTCAATTCTGGCACACCGGCGCTCGACCTGTGGATGTTATTACCCCTAAACACCAAACCAAACCCTAAACCCTTAAAAATCATGATCCTCAAAGGGGACGATGAAGACTTGGTATTCAGGGAACGAATTCTATCAGCCTCACACCACCCTTTGACTTGGCTGCATGCTGAACTCCACGTCGGCATTGGACTGCTTCCTGGGATACACAGGCAACAAAAAGACACGATCTGGGCTAAGGAACTTCGAACGTAGTTCACATAGCCGCACACATAGACCGTACGTGCAGAGCAACCGAAGAAACACCAGAAACTGAGGTCGCGTCAGAGCCTCGGCCAGGGTGACGGTGTCAGGCGACAACACCTTGCGATTGAGTTTTCGTAGGTTTTCGTGTTGTCTAGCAGTTGCTTATTCTTAGAATTGGGCTTAGGGGCTGTAGTTTTGGGAATCAGGGACAATCCGACCCACACCTCCAAAGGCCCTCTTGGAAGTGCAAGGCTTCCGGCCCCAACAGTAGTTTCACTAAGCCAGGGGTATTGAAATTCTGCAATTCTCGACTCTCTGATTTCAGGCTCAATGTAGGAACCTCATTAAGATTCCCAGGCCCTATGAATCATATCAAGAACCCTAACTTAAAAGCCTAAACCCTAAACCCGA